GAACCTTTTGACTTTGGTTGATTTTGGTTTTAAAACTCGTTGGGGAACCGTTTGTTTGTCCAAATATTTCGGAGCCAATTCAGAATTTTTTGCAGAAATACATGTGAATAATGACAAGTGTATGACTTAATTTGAATGCAATTGCTCACCTTATATGTGAGCTAATGCATGTATACACACACACGCAAGGTCTTACTTACGTGTTACTTCTATTCTTAATTTTACTTAAAATGTTTTTGTCTTTTCTATTGATATTTTGGACTTGGAGGAATAAACGTATCAAATACATTAGCTATGCAACTTTTTCTAACCACAATTTTTTGTATGACTAGGGTTACTAGTTAGTTAGGTGTTTCACTATACTTTTTGAATAAAAATATAAGTTTAATAGTTAGTTAGGTGTTTCATTATACATTTTGAATAAAAAAAAAAATGCTTATATTGATACTAATGACATTCTTTTGTTTATGTGTTTTTGAAAGTATGTGTATAAAAATATGCATATATGTTAAAAAAGCGTAACTGTCAAAAGTTGAAGTTTGCCTAACAGCTAGTGGTGTAAACCTGTTGAATCGAGTTCAACTCGTTAACTTAACAATCAAGTAACCAGCTCGAAATCAACTAATTTTGTCAATATTAACAAGTACAACTCGAGGTTTAACAGAGTTGAACTATAAAAAATTATATAATTTTTTTTGTTATAGCATTCTCGAGTTGAGCCTTGTTCGTTAACTAAAAGATCTTAAGCTCTGCTCGTTTATCAAACGAAATAAGCTCAAGCTGAGCTCACAAGCAATTTGTTTAGTTAACAGTCTTCCTAACATTTAACCATACCGTATATCAGAACCTAACATATAATAATAGGTGTTTCATCACATTACATGTATTACAAAATCTTGTTAGATGTCAAATTTTAATATTGAAAGTTAGAAAACGAAATTGAATAGATGGCATTAGTTTTTAGGAAAATCATTTAATATTTCTTTTATAGAAATGGTATTAATGATCAAACCATTAAAAGCCTTTTTTTTTTATTGAAAAAGAAAAATAAAAAAATTGCTTTCACATTTTATAAGGAAAAACCAAAAGGTTAAAGGCACATAAAGCAAGAGCGCCACATTTGTTTATTTTTTTTTGTTGGTACAGGGACCTTTCGGTTTTTGGATCCAAAGGGGAACCGACTAATCCGGAATCGAGCCGGGTAGGACCACAAGGGCGGCAAAGCTCTCCCTCAACAGTTTTAACACTGCTGCATTTCCAGGACTCGAACTCGAGACCACTGGTTAAGCTAGAAGAGACCCAAGTCATCTCATCCAACGCTCTTGGTCCACATTTGTTTATTTAACCGACTATTGCCAAGAAAACTACTTAAAAAATAAAGTATAGATAACTTATTAAAATTTTAAAAAGTGAATTATCACAAATGGCAAAGCCGTAAATAAAACCAAAAAGTGTGGCAAAGTCTACAAATACATCAAAAATTTCGGGGAAAAAAAATTCAAAAAAGCCGAACGGCTCGCATGATATGTGGAACCGAACGTACACAAAACTCAAAAAAGGTGTGTTTTTTTCCACTGGGTGTACTTGTATTTCAATGTACACACACACACACACACACACATATACATACACACTCCTGTACGTATACATTTATACCCCCATTTTATTCCCACTTTTATTTCATTTTTCTTTTTTCACTCTTGAGTGGCACATTTGTTCCTCTCTCTTTTTCAAATATTCCTATCAAGACTCCACCTTTTTCAACTTTTTTTTCTCCATTTCTTGTTGTTTTTGCTGCTTTAATTTGTTCTCTGTTTTGCCCACCAGCAGAAAAACACACACAGACACACACACACAGAGTGAAGAGTAATTGATGGGTGACATTGTACACCTGCCCATGGAGCAGCTTCAGGACCTCGAGTACTGCATTGATTCCAATCCCCCATGGCGTATGTTTCATAATTCTCTTAACCCTTTCAGTTTTCACACACAAAACACGCAGTGGAGGGTGTTATGGACCTCCTTTTTTTTGTTTTGCCTCTTGTGGGAGTTGATTGTTGTGTGTGTGTTTGTTTGTTTGTTTTTTTTTTTTGGTCTTTTTCTGAATGTTTGCTGCCTTTGGCCGAGCATTTACTCCGGTTGGCGGTCGGGGGTTGGGGCCGAGTTTTGTTTGATAGGAAAATAATTTTTTTAAAAAAAAGAAGAGGAAAATCAAGAAATGATGGTTTTTGAATTAAATCTAGTGGGGTTACAGCCTTGCAGGCTCATTTATTGGCCAGACAAATGCTGAAGCCGTACGAGGTTGGGATTAATGTGTGTTGTAATGAGGATTGGCTTTATGGCTCTCTCTGAGTGTGTTTGTGTGTGTGGGGAAAGGTGATGAATTTTAAGTTGAGGTGAGTTGGTGGGCCTAATGGGACTGTGTAAATGTGAATTTTGGTTCATGGGGTTTTGCTATTATTGTTCATTGAGGATTAATTGACGTTGTTATGCCAATGTTATTATCTTTACTGTTCTCAAATGATGTCTGGACCATGCCAAAGAACTCTAGTTTTCTTAAATTCGGTCCCGCATAAATGGGTCTGTAGATTGAAATTTAAGGAGAAAGGTGAGATTTTTGATACAAGCTTTCTGAACAGTCTTTGTTCTCAAACTTCTGTAAATTGTATGACGCGCTTAAAAAAAAATCACAATTCGTATAATTTGATTTTGATGGTGATGAAATCTCATCCGGGAGGACAGAAGTGTCGTGATTCAGTACAGAATGAGTGAGCTTACTTTCCTTTCTGATTCAACTGGTTCCATTTTGTTCTTGTTGTGTGTAAAAGGTTTACGTAAAATCTCTGCTTAATTGTGTTACTGAATGAATGTTGTACGTGAGATAACAATAGGGACCATTAAATGGCGGCGTCCTTTAGTTAGGTGAGCATTGAATTTTTATATATTCAGAATGAAACATATACCTTTCGTTTTTGTCAGTGATGTGGCAATGTATATAAAAGAAATCTGGTAAGAACTGTTAGTAGTAGAATTGCAGGAAATCTTGAGTTGGTGTCTCTATTTAATATAGGGAAATTTGCAAAATACCACCTTTTATCTCTCTGTTTGCAAAATAACAACTTTTGTTTTTGTATTTGTGCTTGCAAAAATACCACTCATTTTTTCATGACCAAAAACACTACCTACAATGACTGATGGTATGATTAAAAGATGGCCTTTTGCAAAGAGAAATTGCAAAGGTGGTATTCTTTGCAAGTTTTGCAATATATTGAGTAGATAGATGTCAAGTGCTTAGATTAGCAAGCCTAGCAGATATTAATTTTGTTCACAAGACGGTAAATTTTTAGTATCTTCTAGAACACTCGTTTCTTCAGGCTATCACGTATGAACAAGTCGAATGTCGTTTAGGCTTCTGAAACAAACATTTAATTTTTCTAGTTGTTTTAATCTTCTGATATATTTTTCTATTATTTTTTGTTTTTCCTATTTGCAGCTGAAACCATTTTGTTAGCATTTCAGAATTACATTTTAGTACTCGGCACAAGTGTGATGATTCCCACATTACTTGTCCCCATGATGGGGGGTACAGATGTAAGTTTCTTTCTTATCTCGTTTTTTTTTACTTGATCAGAATATTTGAAGGGGTGAATTGGGTCTAATCTTGATATCATTGTCCAACAAGGATATAGTTTAATTATCTTGGTTATTAACTTCATTTTGCTGACGTAGAAGTTGTTCTTCTTCTTCTTTAATCTATAAGGTTGCTAGAAAATTCTGAATTTAAGAAGCTCTTTTAATTGATCAGAATATTTGAAGGGGTGAATTTGGTCTAATCTTGATATCATTCTTCTTCAGGAAGCATTTTTTTTTTTTTTTTTTTGGTTATTTGTTCATTTTGAAGGGGTGAATTGGGTCTAATCTTGATATCATTGTCCAACAAGGATATAGTTTAATTATTTTGGTTATTAATTTCATTCTTCTTCTTTTTCTTTTCTTTTTTTGTTATTTATTCATTATTCTTCTTCTTTTTCTTTTTCTTTTTTGTTATTTATTCTTTATTCTTCTTTTATTTTTTCTTTTTTTTTGTGTGTGTGTGTCACGGAATGATGCTAGATGCTGATGTCACAGGGGGACAAAGCACGGGTTATTGAGACATTACTATTTGTGGCTGGCATTAACACTCTCCTTCAAGCGCTCTTTGGTACTAGGTTACCTGCTGTCGTAGGGGGGTCTTTTGCTTACATTGTCCCCATTGTGTATATCATCCACGATTCGTCATTGCAGCAGATTAATGAACCTCATGTAGTACGTATCTTCATATATATCTTCCCATTCTCCTTTTGCATTTTTAACTACCAATGTTAATTTTACACACACACACACACACAAAAAAAAAAAAAATGTCCTGTGTTAATATATGCAAAAGCTTACATCTTTCTCGAATGAGGCTTCATTTTCTTTGTTGTTATTGCATAATGGGGTCTGTTTTTAATGGTTTTAACGTCTTGTAGAGATTTATACAAACTATGAGAGCTGTCCAAGGAGCTCTAATAGTGGCTGCAAGTATACAAATAGTTCTAGGCTACAGCCAAGTGTGGGGCCTCTTTTCACGGTATATAATCTCTGCATTCTCAGCGTTTTGAGATGGCTAAATAATGAAACTTTCACGTATGCGGACATATTTTACGAACTTTTAGGCTTTTTTTTACAGCTTTTTTAGCCCCCTTGGAATGGCACCTGTCGTTGGATTGGTTGGTTTAGGCTTATTTCAAAGAGGTTTTCCTGCAGTAAGTTGTATCACATTAAAAAACTTTCACTTCGTTACAACATATCCATCCATAATTACTTATTAATACTGTAATATTATTTGCTTTTTGCAGCTAGGAAATTGTGTTGAAATTGGCCTGCCGACTCTTTTCTTAGTTATCGGCTTGTCACAGGTAATTAGTCAACTGGTTTGTTAATTAAATTACCCCCCTTTCTTTTTCTATACAATCTTATGTGATTTATTATTATTATTATTATTATTATTATTATTATTATTATTATTATTATTATTATTATTATTATTATTATTATTATTATTATTATTATTATTACCTTT